CGAAACGTTAGGAAGAACAACCTTCAGAACATGGCCAAAGAGCCCGAAAACCCCACAACAACCACAAAAATAACTTTTTCACACACTGCTCCTGAGACAGTGCTGGCATGAGCGCCTCTCTACTGCCTTTTTTAGAACCAATGGAATTACTTCCCCACTGTCATATAGCTTCAACCCTCTATGCAAATCTTCTGAAATTTTCAGCCATTCTCAATATTTATCCTTTCCCCTCTTCCAGTGTTTTGACACAGGATGGTAAAATCTGTGACCCACCAAAATAGAAGTAGTCCACATTTCATGTTTTGTAGCCTCTGCCAGATGCTCGACTTTTTGCAGTCACAGACAGGAAACAAACCCAAGAGATTGGCTGAATCCCATCTATGCAAATCTTCTGAAATTTTCAGCCATTCTCAATATTTATCCTTTCCCCTCTTCCAGTGTTTTGACACAGGATGGTAAAATCTGTGACCCACCAAAATAGAAGTAGTCCACATTTCATGTTTTGTAGCCTCTGCCAGATGCTCGACTTTTTGCAGTCACAGACAGGAAACAAACCCAAGAGATTGGCTGAATCCCAGATGAGCTATAACGACTCTTTGCAGTCACAGACAGGCAACAAACCCAAGAGATTGGCTGAATCCCAGATGAGCTATTATACATAGCTGGGTGGACTGCGCAAAATGGCACAGCACCAGATCCTGACATGGAGCATGGAAGCAACCACTGAGTGGATGCAGCAACCTGTACCTTTCCTTGATCTTGTGTGCTTACTCATGTGAAGTGATGATGTCCCAGCTGCAGTGATGCCAACATCAGAGTGAAGGAACCAGAGGAACTAACTACAAACCACCTGGCTGGTCTGGCGTTGATGTTCTAACAGGTGTCCATCAGAACCAGATTCTCAGTCTTGTCCTTCACAGCTGCCGCTCCTTTCAGCTGGCTAGTCAGGTAGCTGCAGTCCAGCTAGCTGCTGTAGATCTCAAGCAGATATGTCAATCCTTCACAGCTGCCGCTCCTTTCACCTGGCTAGTCAGGTAGTTGCAGTCCAGCTGCTGTAGATCTCAAGCAGATATGTCAGCAGCAGGAAGAGCTGGAAACATAAGCCCTAGAGACTAACTACCCCTATCAGTGTCAATGTATATATGTACACCTTACATGGAGGAGAAAGGCAGCCTACTGCACATCTATGCCAGGACCTCACAAAAACCTAGCCACATAATGTGTAGGCCTGCATCCACAGGTGTCTAGCGGTGGAGCCAGAGGCTGGGTGTTCAATACCTCACCATGTCTCCTTGACAGGCTGAATTCAACAATCAATAGGGTCCCTTCCAGCTCTTCTGTTCTAAGATGATGATAATGATGATGATGAGTGATATCCCATGCACTCTTGCCTTTCAGGTGTCAATAATGTATTTACTTGCCTCGGATTTTGCAGAATATGCAAGTGGTTAACTGGTTTTGGCCTGCAAGCTTTTCCTATTGCTTTCATTGAATTTTTAGCAGACAATTGTAATATGTAATGTCAGATATTCATAATCTGAGTTGTATTTATGATTTTTTATTTCTGATTCCCGGTATTTCCAATTTGATTTTAGACTTCTGATTTGAGATGCTTGTAACTTGCGATTTCAACTGTGTTTTCCAATATGAATTGTTCTGTGCCCTGAGAGCTAATGAGGAAAGATGGAATATTATTACTATCCTCCTCCTCCTCCAACGAATTTAGTATAACAAGTTTCATGTTAATCCAGCACATGTGTGCTTGGAAGTCACATAAATGGGGATGTGGATGGGTGGCTGGCTGGAGTGGGCCTATGCGTGGACCAAATATTAATGAAAACACTTTCTGTGTCATCACTGTGTAATGTTTGGACTGCTCTCAGTTCTTAACTAAATGACTGATTCCATGGGATTTTTTTATACATTTAGTTTCCTGTCTAAAAAGAGATCATACCAGGTCTAAGGGCATCAGTTGAGATCTTGGGATGTTGCTGTGCTTTCTTGGTTCTCCGGTATGGAGACTAACTTGATCATTGGATTTCCATTATTATCTGATTAGCTGAGTTTCAGATTCTAGCTTCATCTCCCTGGACATTACTTGTGCTGCTTTTACCATCAGCTGGCCTAAGATTTCTGAGTTTCCCTCCCTACACTTACATACTCTATTTCTGTGACATCATGGAAGCCCAGCTCCTAGCCTTAGGTTTTGCTTCTGAAATATCAGATAATACAATGCTGTTAAACGTGACAATTGCAATATATTTCTCCTCACAGAAGAGAAATAAGGAATTACCTTCTGACGGACCCTGAGGCTAAGAAATAGGATTACCTGTACATTTGCACATGGCTGTTAATAATCACTGCTTAATTAATTCCAAAAATACCCAGAGATAGTGGGGTCCAAGCATTCCACCTTGAAAGTTCTTCTCTTTGTCTCCAGTGCACAAGATGAAACACCTTTGGTCACCATCCTTATCCTGACTTCAGATGCTCCAAGATTAAATCCTGACACTAATAAGAGATTCTCAGTCTTGAAAATTTCTAGTGGACAGATACAGCATTTCTTAACATTCTGTCTTGTCTATCCCCAGATGCTTATCCCAATTCTGAAGTGATCTATGTGTGGACTAACACCCCAGCAACATCTGTTGTGGTAGCAGAGGATGGTTCTAGGCTTAACCAGTATCACTTGATGGGACAAAGTGTAGATTCAGAAAACATCAGTACCAGTACAGGTAAGATCGCAGATGTTTTATTTGCCTTGCAGTAGTCATTGAAACAGTTGATTTCTAGATATATTATTTGGCACATTTTTTGCTTGGTTTTTACTTTAATTCCCTGTTTTTGTCTTTACACTTCAGTGTGGCTAAAGATGGGCCTTCCCCATTGCACACATTGCCCCTGTGTCTTTTGTTTCAGCTGTGGGTTGGAAGGCAGATTTTGACTGGGCCCTACATGTTTGCATCCCTCCTCCCCCCCCCATCATTTGATCACAGCGGCGTTACTTGACCCCACAGTTTTGATCAATCAAAGGGAGGAGAACAGGCTCCTTTGAAAAGCATTGTGATTAGAAAGGGGGAGCTAGGAAATCAGTTTGTGGGGCAAGGGCTCACTCATACATGCTCAAGTTATCCCCTGAATTCTACAGTGTACCAATGAGGGCTGTCTGCCAGCAGCCCACTGGTGAAACGGGGAATGGTATGTTTGCACTCTCCACCATAGAACTATAGCAGGGTTTGGCGATTTATGGGCCTTCAGATGATAGACTCCAGCTCCCATCATCCTTTACAATGGGTGCTAGCTAGCAATGGACAGGAGTTGTAATCTTGAGAGCAACAAGGAGACCACCTCTTCTATTTGCAGCCGGGAATGGAGAGGCACCACTACACGGCTCTGTCTTGATATATGCTTCAGCCAAGCTATATTTATTCTCTTAAAATTAGTATGCATTGAAGTGACCTGATCTTGGGATATAGCTATAAATACAGTCGGCAGAGAAATCAAGGGTATCTGTTTTTTCCTAGTCCCATGAGACTGCTTGGAGGAATATCAAATACTATATGAAAACAGCAGCAACTTAAACGTGGAAGGAAAAGTATTCAAAATCTTATTAAGCCTGCACCTCTAGCCCGGAACTTGTAACTGGTGGAGAGAAGCAGTAAAAAATCTGCCGGTTCTGTATTCCCGCCTCTCTTTGCCTGGCGAACAGCTACACCGGTTGGACGTCCGCCTTTGTTCCCGCTCCTCAAAGCTCGCTCACATTCTCGGTCAGGAACTTGGTCCGTATGCTCGGAGGAGGGACCTCCTTTTGCTGGAAGCCCTTTAAAGAGGAATCGGGGCCGCGCCTGCTGCGGGTGCGCGGGATGATCGCCTGGCAGGAGGCGAGAAGCCGCCCCCGCAGCAGCGCTGAGCTCCCTCGCGTCAGTCTCCCCCCCCCCGCCGCCGCCCGTCCTCTCGGAGCTTTCAAACGATTTGGCTGATGAAAACAGGGGCGGGGGGGAGCGGGGGGGGGCAGAGAGCGAGGCGAGGCGAGGGGAGGGTGGCAGCTGTTGTCCGGCTCTGCAGTGTGCCCCGGGCACCACGTGGCCTGAAAGGAGGTGCTAACCTGAAAGGGGTCCCGTTGCCTCCGTAAAACTGGAAATGGAGGCGCCAGATGTGGCAGCATTAAGAGAGCTAAAGCGGCTTTAAGCCGGGGGGCAGCCACCCACGTGAGGCCTGCCTGCACACACACGCCCCGCTCCCTCTCCTGGGTCAGGCTGCTCTGGCAGGGCCACGGCGGGAGGGGGGGAAGGAGGGATGAAAGAGAGGAAGCCGGGCGGGCAGCGGCTGTCGGAGGGAAGGGGGACTCCTCCGCCTGGCCCGAGCGTCACATGGGGCTGCAGACGGCGAGGCTTCGAGGGGGGTTACGCAATGCGCTCGCCTCGCTTCCGCCGCTCCTCGCGAGGTAGAAGCCGAGGTCTGTGGCAGGCAGAGAGACACGTCGCCCGAGGTCTCCCCTGAGGGGAAGGAGCCGGCCTGTTAGCCACGCACCTTGGGGGTGGGCAGGGGGGGAAGGTGTTGTTGACAGGCAACCCCATAGAGACAGAGCACTTGGGTTTTAATGGCTGTTTTGTGGCTCAGGTCGAAGAAGCGCCGGGGGGGGGGCTGAGGGGCAGGGACATTTAATTGACTTTTTTAAAAAAAGAGAGAAACACACAAAGGCACGCGCGCGCACAGTAAAAAAACAACACTGGGATTGAAGCGGTTAAGGGAGGGCTTCGGCTCAAGCAGCAAAGAAACAACAAGTGGCCGAGAGAGCTCGAGTGGCTCCCTTCCAAGGCCAAACAGTCTCACAAGTGCCCTGATAAAAGGGGAAGAAGGGCCGGGAGGAGACCACTTTGCCGTCCAGAGTATAACCTTACAACTGAATTAAATTTTCAGACCGTCTCCTTGCTTTTGAAACACGCAGAGCTAAGAGGGCACTCTTAGGGATCCTTCGCCCTTTTTCTCCATGTCCACCTTCAGTGCTCCCACAGAACAAGCAAACTCAAATCCAGACAAAACTACTGTAAATGCTTGCTGTTATGTCTCTCGGGGTATGAAGCACTTCCCACAAATCACAGCAACTTGCAATGAGAAAAAAAAAAACAATATCAGACAAGAACAAGTAAGAAGAGTTTCTTACCAGTTCACCATCATCGCTGCGTTGTTTTCTGCAATGAAGGGCAGCTCTCCCTTTGCCGTCAGGATCACCAAGAGAAAGATCCAGGCTGTGCGCTGAAGCATCGCTAGAATTGTGTCCGGTAGTTCCTCGGAGCAAGACAAAAATCCAAAGCAAGCTGTGGGTACTCCAGGGTGCCTGGCACTTGATGCCAACCAGGGCTTGCGAAGGCTGCTTTCTCCTCCAGCCCTAAGGAAGCAGCAGATTCTTCGCAGGAATCCAAAAGTTTGTGCCCATGAACCACCTCCCAGAAGTATCCTAAGATTAAAGCTAGTAAGGGACTTATTTTCAGTGCCGAAAGGGGTGTTTTTGGTCTTATTTCCGCCCCTTTCTACTTCTTTTTGCTAATGGCCCAGGTTACATCTGGGCATGCTGGATTCTGATTGCAGGGTTGATCACAAAGAGCAGGACACAGATTGTAACCAGGGATTAGCAAAATACAAAAATCCGATTTTACACAGGGAAAGCATCAGTCAGCTATGGATTTTCTGGACTTCATCAAGCTTGCAGGAGGCCTGTAATCAGGGTTACTCGTGAACGGATTTCTAAGATGTTCTTTCCTTCTAGGAGGCTGCAGAATATGAAAATATAAAATGTCAAATCCATAAAAGGACCTCAGTTTGTGTTTTTTGGGGGTATTTTTTTTTGCTTTTACTCTTTTTTATAACGATTGTAACAAAAAAGGAGTACTATTGTACTCCGTTTACAAAACGTTTTTGATCTTAAATCATGAAGGGGTGCAGGAAAGGCTGCAATTGGTTTGGAAACATTTCCTTTATGTTTGCCCAGGCATTTTAATTGACTAATGTAGTCTGATTGTTTTTGCTGTTTTTCATTGTCTTGTTTAATTTTTTTTTGCTTTTATTGTTTTAATTTAATTATTTTAACTGTTGGGACATTGTCATAGTGGCCACAAGAATGGAAGTGATTTAAAAATGCTTTTAATAATAAATAATGAGGGAAAAGAGTGGGAAACAGACATGCACACATGCTGCCTGATCTAGTTAAAGGAGATGTATAGACAGAAACAGCTTCCCACAGGCATTTGACTTGTGGCATTGAGAAGTGAAGGCAAATGGGTTATACATCTGAATGCATATTATGTATGCTGTGTCTCTGCACTGCATTGCTTTCCATGGGATATCTATGCAAAGTGCAGAAGGCTCTTTTTATAACAGGATTACCAGACTGTCCTGGAAGCAGTTAAAGGAAGAGTCGCTGCAGTCTCTCCCCCCTCCCCCCATTACAATAGAAGAAGATTCTGATAAGTAGAAATTCTGCAGAAGGTCTCTGCTGTAGAGAATTGGGCTCAAAGACTGCATAGTTTCTAGGCAATTTCCGATTGGAGATGGAATAGAAGTTGCCTAGAAACTCCCTGCCCCCATCTTAAGGCAGTTTTTTCTGCATAGCTTGGGCCCGTTTGGCTGTTTTTGATCAATTTATGAGGCATCTACTTTGTTTTAATGGAGCATGATTCTTTAAAATAAAAAGAAAGCAGCCCAAATCAGCCTCTACTCTGGAGCCAGAGTATTGGTTTTTTCTCCTTGCTTTGTTTTTGCAATAAATAGGGTCTAGCATAGGGTCTAGAAGGCATAATGCTTGGCACATAAGGCAGCCATTACTATAGCTGTTGGTGTGGGAAACGTGTCTGTCTTGCCAGTTTCACAGGCCTCCTACATATTGCGTGTTAAACAAGCAGTGATGAGCAGTGAGATTCAATTCCTGTTCTCATGTACTTTTGTCATATGTTGAAAGTATGAATGTTGTAAGTGTCTAGTCTCCTAGAGTTTCTGAATGTAATTCTTGGATCACTGGCTGTGAAGCTTGAGAAGTTGTAATAATTGTACGACAAAAAAAATAACTTCCCTAGTTTTGTACTTGCACATCCAATCCAGTTACTGGTAACTGGTCTCTTTTCACTCTGGCACTCTTTGCTGAATCAGCAATTATTGTCTGTTATCTGAATTTAAACAGTGAGTTGTATGATTATATGAAGGGTGAGGGGGAGGAAAATATGCATTTCCGTTTGTACGTCAGCTGTGGTATTTCCTTAGTGCTTTATGCCTGTGAAGAAATATTATGTGCCATTCATTCATTCAGTTATTCAAAACCATTTTTACCTGCCCTTCTCCTAAAGAAAGGACCCAAGGCATCTTATATCATTAAAAAAGCTAATGAAAGCTAATGTTATACAAACATTAAAAATAATTAAATAAGCATTATATTAAAGATGTTAGATAAAAAACATTACTAAAATAGATTTAGAAACAACAACAAAAAACAAACCATCCCATTCGAAAGTCCCTCTTAGACAGCCAGTTTCTAAGGGAAAGCTTGCTTGAAGAAAAAGGTCTTCAGTTGCTTGCAGAACAGTAAAGAGGGGGCCAGCCTGGCCTCTCATGAAAGGAGTTCCAGAATCTGGAAGCAGCAACAGAGAAGACCCTCTCCTGTATCTCCACCAAGCATGCCTGTAACAGTGGTGGGACTGAGAGAAAGGCCTGGAAGAAACACAGCTGGGATGACTCTATTATTTCTGTCACTAATTCACATTACAATACTACACATTTGCTCAAATGTAAAGCCATGAGAAGTATACCTTTAAATGTATAGTACTGTAGCTCTGAAAGATGCTAACAGAAGATGGTAGTTACACAGCGACTGCTTTTATCCGGTGGGTGTCAGTCACTGAGTATACAATTGCAAGAGTGGAAACAATCAGTGAAAACAAATCAAGGAACAGGGATTCAGCTTCTAGTGGATGGGTTTATACTCTTCCTGAAATGTCAGTCTGCACCTTGGGCATGCACCTCGGTTGGACCTAAGCTTATGCGCCCAGGCTTCACCAGTGGGCAGGAATGCCATTGCACACTATGGCTAGTGCACCTGCTGCAGCCATGCCTTAAAAGATCTGATTTGGCTACAGTGACAGTCCTTTGTTAAATACCTCTTCAGTTACTGCAACACACTCTAGGTGGATCTGCCTTTGAAGAGTGTTTGGAAATTTCTGCTGATTCATAATGCTGTAACCAGACTTCTGATTGGCACTGATTAAAAAACAGCATACAACTCCTGTTACATCAACTCTACTGGTTGCTGTCTGTTTCCAGACTACTTCAAAGTTCTAACCCTAAAGCCCTTTACAGTTTGGGTCCAGGCAATCTGAAGGACTGTTTCTCCCCATGTAAGTGTCCTTACATTGGGGAAGTCCTTCTCTCACAGGTTCATTTGGTGAAGACACAACAGAGGGCCTTTTCAGTGGCTGCTCTCAGGCTATGGAATATACTCCCCAGGAAGCCAAGTTGGTCCTCGCCCTCCTGCCTTTCCATCATCATACAAAGACTCCTTTTTGAATAGGTAAGTGTTATTACAGAAATATGTATTATAGAATATTACTGATTTTAGGTGTGGACATTTTAAACTGTTTCTAATGGCAATTTTTGGCATTATCTGTTCTATTGCTTTTCAGTATTATATTCTTCTGTGTTTTTGATTGTGCATGATCATATGGTTTTAATTAATTGTTAAGCTGCCTTGGGTGCCTCTGCAAAAAGAAGACACTGAACTGTGTCCAGCTGGCAGTGACTCCTTTTAATGGCAATTTTTGGTATTGTCTGTTCTGTTGCTTTTCAGTATTACTGTATATTCTTCTGTGTTTTTAATTGTGTATGATCATATGGTTTTAATTAATTGCTAAGCTGCCTTGGGTGCCTCCACAAAAAGAAGCCACTGAACTGTGTCCAGCTGGCAGTGACTCTAGAGGGAAGCTTAGTACATGGTGTCAGTAGATAATACACTTCATGTTTTATAAACCTGTCTATCAGAGGGAGAATCTCTGCGGCAGACTATCTTAAACTGCAGATTTGAAGTATCAGGAATGAGTAGCAAATCATTCGTTGTCATTGACTGGCCCCTAGGAGTATGAGTGAGGGGCACCAAGGCTTACCATGGGCTATTCAGTTTCCTGCATTATCCATTTTGGCTCCCAGGAAGCTTTAGTGCTATTTTTAAAAAGCAGCCTTCTTGGCTGTGACCTCTGAGAGATCAGACCCTGAATATCAACTGTGTAGAGAAGCAGGAGATTGGCAGTTTTGGCCATTAGTGGTCTGTGAAGTTTGGCTTGAAAGCTACAGGGCATCTGAGTCCAGAACCAGTCCTACTGTTAAGTAAGTCAGGCAGAAGATCTTGAGCATCAGGAAAGGGGAGGAAATGGTTAGCTATTTGGTATGTGATTATTGTAATTGTAATGGTCTGAGAGATGGGGCAGGGACAGTAGTTACTGTTCATTTGGCTTGCTTTGGGTACTAAAGGACCTCGTCCTATATCCCATTGTAACTCCCAGTAAAGTTAAACCCACTGTGAACAAGTAAATGAGAACCGATATATTGACACACATGTAAACTCCATGGATTTAACAGGCTTACTCTAGTTGAGAGTAAGAATTGGACTTGAGTTGTTGATTTTCATACGGGCACTGTTCGCTGCTCTACTTGAGGTAGCAAAAGATCTCTATCTATTCCTGTTTGAACTGTGATAGGAACTTTAAAGGGATGAGTGTGACTTTCAGTGGGGAAAAATGGTTGTGAATGATGTGTAACAGTCTGGAGCCCATTGTTAGTGGACTACCTGGTAATTGTTGCTAGATGACTCTTCAAGGCTGTCTGGGCCAATCCAAGACTGCTTAAGTTCTGAAGGGAGGAAACCCTAAACAGAAGGGTTTGTATGTATAATATTGGTAAGGTGTCTCTGTATTTTCCCCTCCTTCCCAGGTGAATACACAATCATGAGAGCACACTTTCACCTCAAAAGAAAGATTGGTTATTTTGTTATCCAGACTTACCTCCCGTGCATTATGACGGTGATCTTATCCCAGGTATCATTTTGGTTAAACAGAGAATCTGTTCCGGCTAGAACAGTCTTTGGTAAGTATTTCATTGCTTCCCATTTCTTTTGAAAAAGTTTGTTTTAAGCTAGGGGTAGGCAAAGTGTGTTCCTGGAGCTATGTGAAGCCCCCAATGCTGTTTTTTGGATGTAGCCACCCATACGCCCCATCCACTGGTATATACGGAGGGGGTGCATCATCTTTTATTTCACCACAGACAGAATAAAGTATTGGACCAACTGCGGACAGAGGAAGCAGAAGGAAGATGTAGGTAGAAGGGGTTTCTTCCTGTCAGCAGATTCTTACTTCCAGCCCTGAGAGAGTTTTTCCTTTCTCAAATACATGCGCCTGTGCACACGCACACGCACACACCCACACACCACTCCAAAAGTGTGTATGTGGCAAAACTGGAAATAAAAGCCTAGGTACAGAAATTTTCTGGCTAATCCTTAAATGTGTTTTTCACCACAGCTGTAACATCAGAGTTGGCCATGGTGCATAAAATAGACAATAGATCTCAGTCAGTCCATGCTACTTTGACAATGCAGTTATCAGGGAGGTCAAATATTTCATGTCCCAATCAACATATTGATTGGCCACTGTGGAAGAAGAATGGTGCATTTGAATGGTTTTCCTTCTGCCTGATCAGCTTTTTCTTCTTTGTTTTCTAACCTGCTTGATTGAATTAGTATCTGCCTGCTTTAAAAATTCATGCCTGCTTTCTAAGAATTTTAACTCTACAAGGGGACACCCAACTGCACCATGAAGTGATGTCCTAATATGATTTCCTTGATACAGATGAAAATAATCCAGACTAGTTTGGTATTGTTAATGCTCTGTATGCAACTGTGGCCAGGACCGAAAGGTATACTTCCATGGATGGAAGCAGCACTGGCAGTGGAACCAGGAAAGGTGATTCTCTCTCTCCTCCTACAGCTTCCACACACCCTTAATGAGATTTTCTCCTTCTTCTCACCCCCGGTATCCCTGCATTCCTCTGCAGCACCTGAAAAATCTGCTTTTGAGTTTTTCCCAGGCCTTAAGAGGATGACATGGGGATTGTGGGGAGGACCATCACCAGATTGGAAGCTCTCAATATTATGTACCACATGATTTCAAAAGAATAGCTCAACGCTTAGTAGCAGACACTTGCTTTAAAAAACCTTCTGCCTAGATGGCTTTCAGCCACTTCTTCCAGAGATGGACAAGTCTGGCAGCTCCAAGATCCAATTTTCCGCTTCCAGAATGCTTTGGGGCCTACTCAGGCCACCCCAGAATGTCAGAAATCCCATACACACAAGCCAAACTCTAGTAGCTGGAATGCAACATCTGATTTTGAACTCTCTCTCTCTCTCTCTCTCTCTCTCTCTCTCTGTGTGTGTGTGTGTGTGTGTGTGTATTAAAATACTTGTGATTCATTTTAAAAGTGAATTACTGGTATCTTCTAATGAAAAAGAAGGGTCTAGGGGAGAGTTGGGGCCTCCAGAGCGGCCTGGGGGGCCATGTGCACTCCTAGGGCCAACACTCAGCACTCTCCAGGTAATTATAAATTTGGCTTTTCTTTCATTGTCTCTTCAAAGGAGTCACTACGGTTCTTACCATGACCACTTTAAGCATCAGCGCCCGCAACTCTCTACCCAAGGTGGCCTATGCTACTGCTATGGATTGGTTCATAGCCGTGTGCTATGCTTTTGTCTTTTCTGCATTGATTGAGTTTGCCACCGTCAACTATTTTACAAAGAGAAGCTGGGCCTGGGATGGCAAGAAAGCTCTGGAGGCTGCAAAAAAGAAGGTAGCCATTTTCCATACTTAAAGAACTACTGTTCTTAGCTAGAACTGGGGATAGAAGTAGAAGGTTTGTGGTTGAAAAGCCTGTAGACATAATCAGCTGGGAAGTTTTTTTTAAAAAATGTAAGTCTGAAATACAGTACGTTCTCCAGTCAAGTGTGAAATAAAAAGTCTGCAGTCTTGCCCTGTGCCTGTCCACTAGCATATAGATTGCCCTTACAGGGTTTAATTAGTTTTTATAACTGAATAAATTGCCCTGTAGGATTAATTGAGTTATTTACATAACCTGGGATCATAGCTTTTGGTTTAGGTTACAATTTTTTCTGTGACCTGGTCTGGACCAAAAGCAGCAGGATGCAGGGAAGGAGCCTCCCCCAGAAATTAATCTATTATAAATTGTGAACACTATGGAAAGTGGCCAGGGAATAGGGGAGATAATGGGACCCTTTACAATGTTGTTTCCTTTGCCAGTAATGGCATGCTACTGATTTGGCCACCTTCCCAAAGCATGGGAGATCAGATGTAGCTAAACCTTATTAGAATTGTTAAATCCATTTCTACACATTTGAGATGAAGATTAGATTTATTAAGGATAACAGACATTTACCTATTGATGTAGGTCCTAGTCCTGTGGTCCATACCCATTGGTGTCAACAAATTGCTTCTGTGAGTGGTACCCCAGAGTGCAAGGTCCAGGCTGCCTGGGATATTCTGCATGGTGTAGTCCAAAATAATAAGTTCTCCCGTTTCTGGAGGAGAGCCACCCATTTTCCAAATTACCATGTTTGAAGTCATACTGACAGAGATCAAAGCAATAGGAAGGTGTAAGTAGTCTAAGCACAGTGCATCCATGCTAATGTTTTTATTGTCTTAAACATGTTTTCCCTTTCATAAATTCTGATTTTTCCATTATCTTCCAGAAGAAAGAACGAGAATTGTTAGCAAAGAAAGCCATTAATGCTTATGCTGCTGGAAGGATGACACCCACGTTAAACCTACCAAAGGACTCCAGCCCTTCAGTCATTTCCCACACAGCTGCTTCTGTTCCAGTAAAACCTGTTGAAAAGCCAACTGAAAGCAAAAAGACCTATAACAGCATCAGTAAGATTGATAAGATGTCCCGAATAGTTTTTCCCGTCTTGTTCGGGACTTTTAACTTGGTCTACTGGGCCACTTATTTGAACAGGGAACCAGTTATTAAAGGTGCTGCTTCTCCAAAATAAACGGAAGTGCTTTCCAGCTCAAGTGTTAGCCATACTTGCAAAAACAAACGCTACCGAAGAGAATTTTGAGGTTCCAGATGACTCGCTCTACCTTTGGTCAATATCCTTCAGGAAGTTTTTGCATGCTTAACGATAATGTACAAAAATTATTCTTGCCTTGATTTGTTTCTACATGTAACCTCAGAGATGTTTCTGACAATTACTGGCAGCAGACACACATCTTTCCAGGACAGCCAAAGACCTGGGACATGGCTTCTGTGCTGCTGAGTACCTTGCATCGATAGTTTACAAATGAAATAGGGTATATTTTTAAAACTGTTTAGGCATATTGCATAGCGGCCGTTTTTTATACTTCGAATGTACAGCGATGCCCATAGATGGAGACTGTGGACTTTGTCGTGGCGGGAGCCTTTATGCAAGCTGTTTCAGAATTTGTCATTGCTGGAGCATTCTGGCTAGGAACTAGAACACCGTCAGCCCAGAGCTTCCACCCACACATGGATGTGTAACATCTCTCAGTAGCAGGATTTAGGAGTTAGTGGCAGACTGCACACATGGACACTGCTTCCTTGATCATTTAGATGAGCAAAACAAGTCACCAGATCAAATACTACAGGAACAGTTTTCATTTTCGCCAAACTATCATCTCATAACATAGCCCTTTTCAAGGCATCCACACTGGGAATCTCTGAAAACTGTGGCAGACCTTCTGCCCCCAAGCTATAATGCAGAAGACTGGCTGCATGATCAGTAGCCTGTGTTGCTGAATATTATTGGCTCTGATGGAAAACATAATGTGTCATCCCAATGGTCCCTGTAATGTGGGCATGCACAGCCTTGTATCAGAAGGGAGTAAGGAATTGTATGCCAGCACATACATATACCTGCACTCTGCTGCTCCGCTGTCCCCTTGGTCTTCCATACATTTTGAGGAAGATCATGTTCTCGTCACTCTTCCGCCAGCTTCAGCTGTCACAGCATGAACTCAGCACTATAGAGTTCTCTGCCAATAACTAGCTGAACACCTCTGAGAAGACATTTTGGCTTCTAGAAGGAGAATGCTTCTCAATTGGCATCTAGAAGATGCTTTGGCTCCTGCACTCAAAGGGAACCTCCTAGGACCTGCTTGGCCTGGTTAGAGGGGTGATTAGCAATGGGTGGGAGTGCACAAGTAGCAAGCAGGAAGGCCAAAACACTGCATCCTATGAACAGCTGGATGGGAGAAATAGACGACACCACATGTTCTGTTACATTTACCCATGAGAGCAGTGTCAGCACGGCTTGGCCCAGGCTGTAGTAACTGTAGACCAATTCCAGCTGATGTTGTTGAGTGATGAGGTATCACGCAGTGTGCCTTTCTATGGAATGGGCCCATGATTTAGTCCGAGTGGACACATGCATGCTAGAGAGTTCCATAGGTAGTAAACTGTCTCCAGACATAAGCCATATCATCTGGTTTGCATCATATGTTTCAGCAATTGTCCCATCTATCTCGAAGAGTCAAGTTAAATTCCAAATCTAATGCCAAATCCCCACCCCATGACCTCAGAAGACTGAGGCTGCTTCAGGCTCTGGGAATTCAAAGCAGTGGTGGCCTTAACCGAGCCTTGCACTCAAAATACAGAAATGAAGGTAGCCAACTCATTTTCCACTCAAGAGAGGAAAATAGTACCTTGCTTTGAATATATTGAAGAAAGCAGACCACTTTTTCTTGTTTCTAATGGCAAGGCTAATGAGGGCTTTGAGTTGTTATGGTTAGAAGCTTGCATCTTCTTCAGCTTCCAGGATTGTTTTTTCTTCAAACCCACAGAGTGCCCACAGCTGACCTATATTTTTCTCCTTAGGTCTTCCCAACCTCTGCCAAGAAATCCCACATTCTGTAAACAAGGTCAAGCAGTGTGCACAGCAGGGAAGCCAATCTTATGTAATTTAATAAGCTGACTAGTTTGCTGGTGTATTTCATTTGATGTTTGATTGTAGCATTATCCGAGGATCTCATTGTATTTCCTGCATTATTTATTTTTACTGTATTTTAATACCTTCCTCTCTCTTCTTTCTCATAAACACTCAAAATGAAATGCTGTCTCCAAACCTTCATAAAACACAGTACCCCACAATCAATATGCAAAATCAATAAAAATCTGCCATCTAGTTTGATAGCATAGCAGAAAAGAAAACAGTACTATTTTTGCAGCAATGTCACTGCAGTGTAGAACAGCAGTAATTGTTCAGGGACTAAATAGCAGAGCAATCTGCCTGTGATCCTGCTGTACACTGAATACGGTCTTACCCAACTGTGTTTCTCCTACATGTATTCCACTGTAAATCCCAGAATCCCCTGTGCCATGTTGGCTGGGAATGATGGTAGGTGCAATCCAGCTGGTCTGCAGACTGCAGGTTGGGAAAACTGTTTGAAAGCTTCCAAATTTGTGTGTATATGTGTGTGTTTTTTTAAAAGTAAGATTTTACCAATGTACTAGCTTGCTAAAAGGGGATCTGAATTATGTGACAAACACACACTGACAAAATCATAGCTTATTTAATGTTTTGATTCCCCTCCCTTGTTTCTAAGGATTTTGGTTTTCCTGCTCAAAAAATTTAAGATTTGCTTTTCGCAGGAACAGACCTTGTGCAGAATTCATAGATCTTTTGCAAGGCTAAGCAAAAGTATGCTCTCTTCTTCCATCCAGTATAGCAGAAAGGAAAGATTTCCCCATCTTTAGTCACAGTGAACACAATTCCCCAGGGATCTCTGTACAGAGAATTCCAGCTGAAGCAGAGACAGGCCATTGGTTTTCTCTCTCATGCCATTACAGTTGCATTTACGCAAGAGAAAGTTCTTGGTTGGAGGGCTCGCATTCCGCAGATGATACCCTTGGCCCCTATTACCAACTGTTGTGAAAAACTGGGACGACAATATTCATGGAGTTATTTTAAAATGCATTTGCAGAGACTCTGGTTTATGGATTACTTGACTAATAAGGCTACGGCATGTTTATTAGGAGTGGTAGGAATTTTTCAGGGAAATCAAGACTTCTGTTCAAATTCAAGCTTCTTTTCTCACACTAAGACATCACTGTGCAAAGTTTGAGACATGAATTTGCATGAGACTATCCTTTAAAAGAAGAATAGATCGAAGTGTGCCCAACAAAACAGTGGCTCCTCCGTTTTCATTACCGTAACATTTTTTCATAGAGTGAACCTCCTGAGGGAACAACAAATGCCGCTTAAATCTTGGTTTTCTGTTTCCATGAGATAAAGACACAGTTAAAGAGACAGAAGAGATATTCTGCTTCATCAAAGCCAACGTTTTCCAGTGATTGTCAATATTTTCTTTGGTACCCTGCCTTTTGGAAACTTTTATTGATGCCAAAATGGTTTGCTTCATTTGGTGGATGATTGACATTACATCCCATTGAACTCAAGGGGGCTTACCTTTGATTAGCCAGGCACAGGGTTGTTTTGCCAGGCTGCAGCCCTGTGCCCACTAATTTGGGAGTGAATGCTGTTAAAAATAAACAGCACCTACTTTTGTGTCATCATAACATGCATGTGTAATTTGAGTTACAGTATTTTCAGCATTTCTCCCCTGCATACATTCATTGCTTCAGTAGCTTTTGTAATTTTATCTTAATGTTTAAATTAAATAATACATTTGATAGCCAGTTGCTGTGTCATTTTCTTGAGCTTGTCATTCTTTTAAAAAAAGTGTAACAAAATGTGGCAGTGTGAACTAACTTCCTTCCTTCCTTCCTTCCTTCCTTCCTTCATACTGTATCTCCCAGTTTTCCATTCCTGACATACACACTCCTAAACATTCCAAGGCCACTGAGTGTACACAATCCTCCTAAGGTTGCTGGTCAATTTGATGGGACTTCCTTCCATAGATTGTGCCAGTTCCTCACCCAAATTTTGGGTGAGGCATCCCCCCCATCCTGCTCCACACTCTGCCTCCTATTATGTTTTCAGGGAGGGAGGTTCTTCTGCAAGCCTTGGCATTCCACTGAACCTACAGATACATCCTTTTCAACAATGACAGTGGGCCTCCGTATGCAACAGCATCCATTTCTGAGCATGAGAAAATGCTCAGGACATTTGGAATCATAGGGTCGCTATAGGTCGGAGTTGACCTGACAGCACATAGCAACAAAAACAACAAGGCTTTTGTCCCTAACTGTTCTCCTGTTCACTGGACTCTGTTTGGCCTTCTGACCTTGTGTGTTATGGTGGCCCAGTGTTGGGTTATTGGAGCTGTCTTTGAACTGTTGGGTCTGTGATTGATCTTTAGTCCTTTGTAGCTGCTTCATTTTTGTGCTGTCCAAAGCATGGCAGCCCAGTTCTGCTGACAGAGTAAAGAAAGAGAGGGGAGCAGCTGGAGCAGCAAGATGCTGGAGGACAGAACTGTGTCTACCATGAAGTCACCCTTGTGTCCTGTCCAAATTAGCCCACTGCCCCTCAAATACAGTGAAAGCTGATGTCTCACGTTGAAGAGAACTACCACTCCAGTTGTTTAACATGGCTTCTGTATGTGGAGCAGAGTCATCTTGTCCTTAGCATCTGGCAACAAAATATATCTGGCAGTAATTTTTCTCAATACATTTACTGGTTCTGTTTACAGAGAGTCACTCTAAAGACTTTGGACAATGTTCTGAATGCTTTGTGTTTTCTTATAAATGAGAGGTACGCCTGCACTTCTCCTTCACAGCACACTGTACTTCTCATTCAAGCTGTAATCCAGGAATTTCTCTTCCTGTACTGGAATTCTGAGACGTCCTTGGCCTTTATCATTCATGACATCAAGTAAGATTTATGAAGTTTAGGATTAGATGATAGATAGATAGATAGATAGATAGATAGATAGATAGATAGATAGATAGATAGATAGATAGATACAGTATAAAAATGATAGATTGCCTAAAAGTAAGGGGGGGGGAACCACACATGATAGTTGAAATGAAGCTTGGAATTTAAAAAAAAAACCCCACAAACCTTGCTTATTGCAAATGGAATATGGATTGCCTAAAAGTAAGGGGGGGGAACCATACATGATAGTTGAAATGAAGCTTGGAATTAAAAAAAAAACCCACAAACCTTGCTTATTGCAAATGGAATAATAGACAGAGACTTGGGGAGTCTTGATTCGAGATTTTCCCCCTCAGTTGGAAAGCTCACTGGAACCTTGGGCAACTCTCAGTCTACCTGACCCCACAGTGTTCTTGTGAGGATAAAAGACAGCTGCTCCACCTTGTTTAAAACAGCGATGAATATCTCTTGGGTGAGGGAGTGGATTTCAGGGCTCTCTAACTCCACCTAGGGCACAGCAGTGGCACTGCTGCAATTTGACTTTTAAACTAGGAGTGCCACTTCTCCCTCCCTCCCTCCCTCCCTCTTTCTCCTCTGCCATCATGGTTCACAACACCGAAATTCAGCACAGAAGTAAATTTGGTGAGGATGTGTGTAAGCTACAGACAGAAACCTGCAAGCTACTTGTTGCCTCCTTCTGTCTCAGGAGAGGTCTGACAGCCTAAACAGAGACTAAAATGGGTCTTCAAATGTATCAATACCCAAAGGAGAAGATATACATATATACTGATGCCATACATAGGAGGTATTGCAGAAGTGCCCCTCCTTTGCTGCGGTATTTCATATAGGCACTGTCTCTCCACTGAGTCTGCTTGTCTTCACCTGGTATGTTTCATATAAGAACAAGTATACTAAGCTGCATGTGGTATGGCACAAAGTATAGAAAGGATCTTTGAGGTTCAGGAGTAGTTCATCTTAACAGATTAATCCCAGTAACACGTTCACACAGCTATTTTTCAGAGCAGATATCCCTGGCTCACACAAATTAAAAATACTGAAAACAAAGAATATTGACAATAGTCACTGTTTGGGAATTAGCATTATAACAATATGAACTCTAACTAGGAATTAATTAGCTGAGCAGCAATACCCAATCGGGTGCCTACCACTCACAGAATTAAATAAACACAATAAAAAAAATCCACTAATTGAGCTTCAGTCTGGAGAGATTAGCTTAGGAGTTGCTTGCCGTTCAAAAATGCCTAGATGAGATGAGTCTATATACAACAGTACACTTCTGATTGGAATTGGTTGGATCTCAATTTCTAGGAGACAGCCATGGCTGTGATGAAGCACGTGGGTTCTTGGGGAATTCTATGAGTGATAAAGAAGAGGGAAGAGAAAGGAAAAGGAAAGGGAGGATCTTTTGCAGAAATCCCAGAGAAGATGATGGTGGCAACTGCAAGCCCTGATGCCAAACCTGGCCCTCTGGACTTCCCTAGGGGGCTCCATCTCCTTCCCCACAACACCATGGTTGGGCGGTTGGCTACCTTTTACTGTATATTGGTTTTCCCTATTCCAAAACACAGAAATTCTTCTCCTAAGCCTTAGTCACTGACAGGAGGAATTTAAAATTCGAATACGATTTTCTTCCCACTCCTCTGCTGTATCCACCTTCAGCAGGAGATCCCTGAGTCCTTCTAAAGGGAGAAGGAGAAGGTAGGAGATTGAAAGACCGATAGATAACATCTCAAACTGAATTTGTGCCTAAGGCTGAATGAGGTTCCTCACCTTTGGCATAGGGAGAATCAAGCTAGTGAGGCTCACCTTCAGCAGAAAGAGCTCTTGCCAGTCCAGAACTGAGTGTCTGGGGAGGAGAGGCTTGTTAAGGCTGTTGGTAGGTTCATCAGCAAAATGATTTAAGCCAGGAGGCTGCAGAGTGACTTCAGGAAGAAGGTGGCAAACTGGCTATGAATTGCAACGATGGCAAGGATTTGATCTGATGGGCATGACAAGAAGGGCAGAGTCAGGGCTTAGAGGTTTCTGTTGATTTATATGGTATTTTAAATCAAGGCATGGCCAAAGGAAAATGGGGGAGGCTAGGGCCCTGGGTATGTTCATGTCCCATTAGAACTTTATGGGGCTATTTATTCATGATTTTCTTAAGACTTAGTTACCATTTATTTATGCATTTATTTCATCTACATGCTCCCTTTCCACTATAAAGTAGTGCCCAAAAAAGGCTTGCACTCTTCATCAGACAATAAGAACAAGAAAAACCAAATTTCACCATGAAATCATGAAAGTAAAATAAAATCAACTTGGGCCTAAAAACCATGACAATGAACTAAGTTGTTGAAACAACACAACAGATTAAACCTTATATGTCCGTTTTTAAAACAATGTGTTTCTACACCCTTCTTAAGAGTGGGAGGAAGAGTGGAAACAGATCCCAGCTCTGAAAGGAGTGCTCTCCACTATCTGGAAGTCCCCACAGGGCATCCCAGAAGAGCCAGCCTATGTAGCCTTGGGCAACCTACACATTCCCCTGAAGAAGAGCACAGTGAACCACTTCTAAGTATTCTCTACATGGAAAATCCTGGAAAGAGTTGTTGCAAGTCAGGATTGATTTGGCAGATGATGATGATGATGATGATGATGATGATGATGATGATGATGATGATGATGATGATGATTACATGATCTTCATTTCTCAAGTAGAGTACATTCCCCCATTGTGAGGCTGTTGGCTGCTGGCCATTCAATTATTGGTTGCTTAATCTGCTCGTGTGACCTGATATTCATTGCAAACATCTACACACACAACTGTGGCAAAATGTCAGTCAAGCTCTTTTGAGCACAGTAGCTTGCCAGCAGATTTTAAAGATCTCTTCTTTAAACTGTGGAATTTTCCAAGCAGTTTTTTTTTTTACTTTCCCTCCCATATTGGATAAAGATGTGAAACCGGAACTGGTCTGCCAGCATGGTCGCTAACTCACGATCCCTGCACACTTAGAGTATAGGATTGCTCTATGAGGCTGGACCTACTGAGAATTAGCTGAAGTCACTGAGACATACTCCCAAGAAAACATGCAGAGGACTGTTCTTATGCCCCAGTAAAACTATTGTAACCTGATTGCTAGGAAAAGGTAAGGGAGCAGGAGAAGAGGAAGACCAAATATGAGATAGATTGATTCTCTGTTGGAAGCCACAGACATGGTTTTGCAAGAACTGAGCAGGGCTGTTAATGATTGATTCTCTGTGGGAAGCCACAGACTTGGTTTTGCAAGCACTGAGCAGGGCTGTTAATGACAGGACATTTTGGAGGCTGGATATGAGTGGGAAAGGGATATTGGGTTACCTCCCCCTGCTTCATTTGTTGACCAAATGTTTTGCTGTACGCCTGAGATGGGACATCTGAAACAAGTGGCAATAAAAAAGGAACAGGACTACTGAAAGTCAGCATCTGCTAGGTCACAGTCTTGGTGGATGTGTTTTTCTCAAGTGCTGCCCCTAGGGTTAATTACTGGTACTTAAAAGGTTTCTTTCCCTCTGTTCTTAAGGCTCAGTGGAAGGGCTCCGTCAATTATATGTCAATAACATTCAGCTGACTTCCCTGTGGATCAAGTGCATGTATATTATCAGCTTCTAATTCAAACAGACTTTGAAGTGATTTACTTAAGATATAGAAAATTAAACATGAATTGATGTGAGACATTAGATGCTCTAGCCATGGCACAAGCATCTTAAATATTTAACTAGCCTTTAAATTAACTGGAGAGAGGTGAGAATGTGTGTTTCCTGGAGAACATGATGATCAGAAATATGATTAGGCTTTACATTGCTATAGCAAAGGGCCAATTTGTTTGAAGTATCCTCTAGAAACTCTTAACCCAGTTCTTATAAAGCTTTTTATAGAAGATTCAAATACCACATTCCTGATCTTGTTTCTTAATTAACACTGGAAAAATGGAGCACAGATAGTAGGAAACTAATTCATTTTCAACACTGTATTTTGAAAAGAGGAAAATTACAAATCTGTTTGAGAGATTTCTAGGGAGGAAGCCTTGTTAAACACAGAGGACCTTACTTCTGAGTTAAGGGTTGCCATAAGACAAATCTGACATGATGACACATAACTAATTAATTAAACATAGAAACTATAATACATTACCTACTAGATAATGACTGAAATCTTGTTGCTTATTAAGTCACACTAGGGACATTGAATCATTGGCGTTTTGATGAGTCAAATCTTCAGTAAGTTCTGTTGACTCAAATAAGCCTACTCTAGTTGTGATTTACTATACTAAGCAACAAGATTTCAACCAATGTATTTTGTATTATTCCTCAAGTATTATTTGAGGAATAAAGTTACTGTGCAGAAATGCCAATATCACAACGAAAACCTTTATTAGTCCTCTCTCTCTCTCTCTCTCTCTCTCTCTCTCTCTCTCTCTCTCTCTCTGTGTGTGTGTGTGTGTGTGTAATAAACTGTGGCTTACATTTTCATTATTGGAACCAATTCACAGAATTTAGGAAAGTTCTTGGGGAGGGGGCTACAATTCCCAGAACCCTCCAGCCAGAATAGTCAATGAATGCCCAATGGCCATGACAGCTGGGGGATTCTGGGGACTGTAGTCCAAAATGAAAGAGATTTTTCCCGCAAGGTATGCCAGATTATCAGTATAACAGTGACAGCACCATCCTGTACATGTTTACACAGAAGTAACTTTGATAAGGGAATGCAATATAATCACATATTTATGGTTATATAAATTATTTTGCAAATACTAAGGAAGCTGTTGTTGGAGCTTCTTCATCACTGAATCAGCTCATCATCAGTTGCCGTCATATCAACGGCATGCATATTTGTTTGGAAGAAAATTCTATAAAAATGCTTTTATGGGATTTATTCCTGTGCACGCCTAAAAACAGCTATGTAAGTCAATTTCCCTACAGGATATCACATGGAAGAACAAAATGGATTGTACACTACAATATGTGAAGAACGGTTGAACTTTCACACCCTGGTTGTGTTAACATACTTCAGTACAGAAGGAAATCAAATGACCAACTGCATGCTTAACTTAAGCATTTTCCCTACTTAAATTGCATTTTGATGTAACTAGCAATCCCCCTCATGTTTTCTTTTCTGTAAGTTCTGCAAAGCAAGTTATTTATAGAATAAAATGTAATTATTATATCAGTTTTATGATGTTTTATATAATGAAATATTTGTCAGTCTAAATTGGACCTGGGTTAAGTGAGGTCCTCCAGAGGTTCCATCTCCTAGCGCTCCTTGCCATTGGCGAGACACTTTGCCCACCCCTAATCAAAGTGATTCTTCATCGGCCTGCAGGCATCTGTTAACTAGCAGATACTTGATTTCAGCTTTGCTTGGAATTCTGTGAGCTCAGCCTGTCTTATGTGATGATGAGTCAGTTCAGCCTACATAGAGCATCTGCTATGAACTTGATGTACACTCGTCCTGCATTTGTTATGACCCTGACCAACGGTTTACCTTCTAGGTGGTGAAAATAACTAAGTGTACATGTGACCTGATCTTGTCAAAGTCATTTGGACCTTGGTCTCTATCAACAGACTCCTCTTAGCCTGTGATTGATATATTGCTTTATCACTTTTCTTAGAGTGTATACTTCACAGACATGCTCCTGACACTTTCTAACATTTGTGCTTGCTTTGTTTATCCCCTAAATAGTCTGCTTTTGTTGTCACTCCTCATCCTTCTTGTCTATTCGTTTTGCAATGAAGTTGCACTGAAAGGCAGCACAACACTGGTGCGGTTGCCATGAGGTCTGTTCCAAGCTCTTTAAAGCACATCTCTCTTTTCATAAAAGCTGCCACAAAATCACAATAGATTTTGAGGAGATGGCTGCCAACATTATACTGTGTTCTGTCATGTTGTTTGACTGCCAGATGGGAAGGTCTGAGTAGAACACTGTGAAGTAAGAGGTTCAAAGCACCCCTACTTCTGTAGCTTTGTAATACATGCTAAACCAGAGTAATTAAACTTCCCACTTCAAATTTCAAGCTAACTGTTGTTGATTGCCAGAAGATGTTCTTTCATTCCTTTGTATGTAATGAAATGATAGTCTTAATCAGGCAATATATCACAACGTTGTCTGTGTGTGAGTCAAGATCCAACACTGACCTTTGGTATTCCAATAACAACAGAATTGGGGTTTTCTCCTCTTCCCCCTAAATTCCTCCATGCCACAAGAAGCCTGTTCCAGAGGTTTTCTCAGGCCACCTATCTATCACAAGGAAGATTTCCAGCTGAATCACTTTAGAGGGAAAAATGTTAAATAGAAATGCTCCTGCAGTAAGCAATCTTCTTAACAATCATCTAGTGTATAGAAGGGCTTAGGATGGGAATGAATGGGAATTCCTCTTTCATACTAGACAGCCTGGAAACCTCATTATACCTATATAAAACTCCATAGCAAAAGCATGCTGTTTATATTCCACGCACAGTACTTAAATCACTGTCTGGATGGTTTACAAGTTAATTATGCAGGGTATACATTGACCCTCCCACAAGCTGGGTATTCAGTTTACTGACCTCAGAAGGATGGAAGGCTGAGTGAACCTTGAGCCAGCTACCTGGGATTGAAGCCAGGTTGTGAGCAGAGTTTTGGCTGCAGTACAATGGTTTAACCACTGCACCATGAGGCTCCTTCATAGCCCTGTGAGGGTCTTGCCATCATCAGAGACCAAAACAGGAACTTTCTGGAGCAAAGTAAAAGTGGCCTTAGATTCCCTGGATCTCAAATCCCTTCATTTCCCTGAGGAACCGTAGATTCGGCAACCTTTAACTACCTTAAACGAGCATTTTTATAGTTAATTCCAAGCACACCTTCTTTGAATCTACTGCAATTAAACATTCATGCACATGCAAAGAGAGGCAAACAGCTTCATACTTCCTGCCTTATTGGACACAAGTCAGTGTAGTTTCGGAAATGGCACACACTTTGCCACTTTGTAGCCTATGGGGCTTGATCTTTTCCAAAACTTCCAAAGGTTTCCAAAGTCTGTTGGCCAATCACTATTTCTGTGTTACCTTGTACAGTATTTTTGTTCTCCTGAGTGACAAATTGTGTCATCTAAATCCCATGAAGTTTAGGGCTGGAAGAAGGATTTGTTGCGTCTTTAACTTGTTTTTCTACTGGCACAGCTCCCAAAGCACATACGTAAGGTCATTTAGAATATAACAATGAAGTAAGTAAAACTGGAGATTATTTATAGATTCTTCTTCTCCTGATATGATGGCAAAGAGTTGGTCCTAATGGCCTCTGTGGCCGCACCAGAAAGAGAGAGCCAGTTCCTGTGCACATTCCTCCTTATGTTAGGCACTTCAGAAAGAAGCTGCAGCAAACAAAAAGTGGATGGTTCCATGAGATCTGAAAAACATATTGCAGTATGCTGACACTCACTGCATTTAGTTTTTTTTCACTTTCCCACTTGTAGCTACCTTTGGTGTTGAAATAACTCTGACTTTTACTGAAAATGCCGAGAGCTCAATAAAATAGAATAAACTCTGGTTTTCTTTCTAAAATGTAGGAATTGCTTCCAAAAATTAAACTCTAGCTGCCTTGAAGAATTTATATTCTTGTAGTTTGCTTTCGCACACACAGATTGTCAAGAGGATTCCTGCTAGTTAAATAAATTATAAAATGCACCACACTCAGCTGGATTAAAATCATGTCGAAGGCTCCTCCAGCCAAGCTAGAATTCCAGGTGGAAGACACTTGGCCATTAATGCCCCATAAGTGATCTCTTAAGTCCAGCCTTCCAAATTCTAAGAAAAATCTTAACATGTATCAAGGCATTTAATTATTTTATATGGACTGAAATCCCAGTGTTGGCTCCAATTAGAATAGACCAATTGATTCAGGGACTGAATGGTTCAATGGGTCTATTCTGCTGAACCAGCAGTTGGATTTTGGTCATAACTTCCACGTCTTTGCAGTGTCCTGATCTTAAATATTTGACTTCCTCCCTTTTGCAATAAGGTGTGGGGTCTTTTCTTGTAAGGATCATATTTCACCCTTGGAGATTATTGAAACACAGAGAGTACGTAGAGCTCTGTGGTTTAGGTTCCTCCATTAACGATCAGCACTCAGAGACTTTAAAATCATGTTATTTTATATCAGTGAAACAGATGTCACAGAGCAGGGTACTCTTTTCCAGAGATTTCATATCATTGGACGTCACTTGAAATGCTGCAGTGGAGGATGTTCTGTGTTCAGTTGCACTGGCAAATCCCTACCCAATTAGCACTTTATGCATTTTCGGAGAGGCATGACTTAATGGGAACATTTTCAAAACTCTTTCTGCCACATCAGTTTCTTTTCTTTCTTTCTTCTGTCTTCTTCTTAAAAAAGCAGGCCACTCTTCTTTCCAAGCTTACCTGACAAAGATATAAGAGTTCCTATTAAAGCACAGTGTTCCAAAAAGCAGCTCAGAGCTGCCGTCTTAAGATTGATGCCAAGTCTCCTGTAACTACAGTAGAACTTCCCTGCTGGAAGGAGCAGGGGAAGATGTTCAGCTGCTGGTGACCCCACAGGAACAAAGGATTTCTGAGATGTATTTCTTGGATCTGCCACAAGAGGATCCTCCAGCCCAGCAAGAGCTGTGAAGGAAGGAAGTACTGCCTAAAGACATTTGCCTCAAACCACCTTGTCTTCTTGATCTAAGGAACAGATTATTGCATTCATGAAGGCTTTTACAGCCGGGATCTGATGGTTGTTGTGGGTTTTTCGGGCTCTTGGGCCATGTTCTGAAGGTTGCTTTTCCTAACGTTTCACCAGTCTCTGTGGCCGGCATCTTCAGAGGATAGAAGTCAGAACAGAGCACAGACAGAGTTCTGACTCCTGTCCTCTGAAGATGCCGGCCACGGAGACTGGCGAAATGTTAGGAAGAACAACCTTCAGAACATGGCCCAAGAGCCCAAAAAACCTACAGTAACGAACAGATGATTCTTTAAGAAGTGTTACATCAGGCCGATCGTTTATAGGGGCTGAGGGAGGGACTGTTCCTCACTTCCCAGTAGGTGTAATTTGAAGGAGGGGAAGAGGTATATTAGTCACTGTTTCCCCCAAATTCTTCCTTTCCTGCTCAATAAAACATTGCAATCTCTCCCGTTACTACCAAGGCTGTTTCTGTTAGGCTGTTGAGACTGTGGAGCTGTCCAGGCTTCAGGTGCTGAAAGGGGAGCAGCTGCAGGCTTGGTAAGGAAGTACAGCCACTGGCACTAGATATGCCCTCTTCTTTTGATAGCTGGAGCATCAGCCTGTCAGCTTACAAAAGCAATTCCCACCCACCCCCTATTTCTGTGTTAAAAATAACGGCATGAAATACAGAGTTAAGTTCAGTAAAAGCTAATCATATTTTTGAGAGCAAGAAGACAGCTCTGTTATTCATGTGCAACATCCCAAACCACAATGAGACCACTAAGATATCCCCAAAAGTGAACTTCTGAGCATTGCAAGACTCTTTATTAGAATAAACATTGCAGAGCTTAGGGTGGGGTGGAGTTAGATGTTGCAGCCACAGGATCTGTGGTTAAAATTCCAAAATAAAGATGGCAGGTAGGAAGAATCAGGTCCAGCTGTGGGGTGGTGCACAATCAATCATCTGTCTCCATCTCTATAGACAAAGGAACCGCTAGTCACTCAGTGAGTTCTCACTGTTGGAATTCAGTAACCTTCATATGCTGCCTTTAAGAGGTTTTAGCTGCGAGGGACCTTTCTGGGCTTGGATGACTGCCAATCAATCCAGCAGCAATCAATTGTTTCCTGTCTGCCTCAGATTTTGAAGAGAGACATGCCTCTCCACTTGAGAATTTTCTTCCCACCTTTTTTTCACACAGTTAGAATTTGTAGTCAGTTAGTCATGCAGTCAGCCGTGTAGTGAGTCAGTATGCAGCTAGTGAATCAATTAAGCTCTCTTCATGTAATCAGTTAATATTTTTCTACATAATGCTGTTTGTTTTGATCTAAGAAGAACAGTGAGTAGATTAGTGTTCTTTTCTCTTACCAGTGTCTCAGAGTGAATTATTGCGACAGTAAGTGTCAGTTGAGGAAAATTAACAATAAGGGGTGGTTTACTGCAGGGAGCTAATTCTGCTCTGCAAGTCTCTGAATTTTTTCCACTGCATAGCTAGATGTTTTTAAGTCAATAATTTCAACTATCTGCCAATACTCACTTCTGTTTCTTCCCCACCCGTTCCTCTGCAATGCACAGCCTGATGAAGAGTCCAAAGAATCCACCTTTTAATTTTCCCCCTAATTTATTAAATTTAATTATGCCAAGAATATAAGAAAGAATGAAACACACAAAACACATACACAACAGCTCAAAAGGAAACACAACAAACTTAGAGATATAATGATAATAATAACAATATCTATAGATAAGTTCCTATAACTACCTTCTGAATATCTTCAGCTGTATCCATGTGAAGTGGTCATCTGTATGTGACGAGTTTGTATAACAGAGTTGCAAGGTCCACTGAATTACAGGAAATGGGCATACATCTTTTTGTGGTGAGTGGTTAACCTCCAAATAATAGACAAATAATTTAAATACACCTAAATGGCAATAAAGTTTGGAGAGTCATCCAGTGCAAAATTAATTTTTTTGTAATAATTTCCCCCTAAAAAGAACCTATAAATGGCCATTAGAAAACATAAGCCTAACAGACATCAGATGAGTTGCAGCACTAGCAGTTAGACGATTTATTCAGAAGTTTAATAAAGTGCTGAGGCATCCAGTTTACTCAGAACATGATATATATATATTTTTTGCTGAATAAGTCACAGCTCAAGATCTGTGAACGGGGCCAATACGGAAACCAAGGTTGCCTTCCATTGTTCCAGCAATATCCATATTCTATTTATTCCTGAAATGAATGAAAATGATATTCCTGCATGTCACGTTTGTTAGCTGACAGCAAATATTTGTAAACCAATATTGTCAGCTTCTTTCCCTATATTGATTTAGTCAGTGTTTCCAAGGGTGAGGTTTGCTCTGGGGCATTTAGTGCTGCAAGACTGCATTTAGATACTAGCAGCTCACCTTTTAATGATATTTAAATGCTTCCATACTAGTGTTACTTGACCCTGATTTTATATTTTCTATGAAATGGAAGAGGTTTACAGCTAGACTTCACAATCCTGTTCTTTCTACATTTAAAAATCTAAGAAAAGGGCAGCTACTGGTTTAGCATTTCTCTTCCAATTTTGGCTTAAGCTGATTGATTAGTTCAAGATAAGAAACGGCGTCTACATTTCACTGAGAAAAAACAGATAATAGAATCTAATACTCAAACACCCACCCGGCCATGGTTTGAAACCAATTGAGAGTTTGATTCTTACCAATATATGGATAGGGACCATCTGGGACACTCAAGAATACCGTCCATTGCGTTTTATCATAGAAGAAAGGAGTGATATAATTGTAACAAATATATCAATATGATAAAAATAGCCAGTCCCTTAGCAATGCATTTTCCTAGCTAAATCCCCTTTAAAGAAGAAGAAAAGAGGTCTGGATTATAAAAGTAAACATTCCACCGAAACACAGCCCATTGAAACCACTGGGACCGTCATCTGAGAAATGTGTAGAGGAAATTATGTCAATAGGCCAACCTATATCAGAAAGACCCATGTTATAATAGTGCCTTAAGACTTCCAGGAAGATGCCCTCTCTCCATGTGTCCAGGATTGTAGGGCGAGTCCTCTTGCCCATCACTTCCAGTACTAACATGTTTGTATGTGGATATCACCAGTGCACATGGGCAATAGATTGCTGGAAGCGAAAGTAGGAGCCTGGTCCTATGTGTATTGATTATGGCTAATCACTGGATCTTAGTCTATTGACACGGGCAATGGTAGGAAAATAAACTCTTAGAAGAATTAATATAGTGAGATGCTAAAGCCAGTGGTAGGCTGGAGCTCTGAGATCCAAAACTAGTGATGTTCCTTATACCTATCTTAAAAGTCAGGGTCATAGACTTGAATAAGGATGAGGCAAAGGGAGTTCTGAAGGTACTGTAGATCTCTGGGTGCTTTGGATGGTGCTGGCAAGTATTTCTGACTCTCATTCATTTAAAAGAGGGATTTTCAAAGTTGGGGGGGGGTCTAGGAACAAACTTTCTGTCCCCTCCGGGATGCTTTGGGGGCTGTGTGGACAACCACGAATGCTCCCAATTGACAACGACAACAACAACAAAATAATCAAGAAATAACTTGGTATCCACTTCTGCTTTTGGAAAAATGAGTATGTGTGCTTGATAGTGTGTGGAGAGGGAGGGCATGAGACATATGCAGATGTGAATTGCAGCTCCTAGGAAGCTTCCAGGATCAAGAATCCACTGTGGTTGTTCATCCATTAGGGTAAGAATGATACTGTTCTCCCCCAGACTCAGACTACTTTCAGCCATATCACTTATGCTTGCTTCCATTTTTTGTGTGTGAAGACACTGGGGAGAAAAGGTCTGTGAAAGGTCAAACTCCCCAATGCTTACAGTTTACTTCCTGAGGTGATCAGCTTGAGCTGCCCAAGCTGGGCCTGGACCAAAGGAGGTCCCACAGTTCACTTCCTGTTGCACTCTAAGGATCCTTACCACTTAGGAAAGCCTGACAGAATAAATGGAGTCAGCTGTCTCAAGGCACTTAATCCTCAGAGCTAAAACCAGCACAGAAGGGCAGAACCACCACCTCACTAAATAGCTATGTTGGGCAACAAGGCATCCAGGGTGGATTTAGGATCAACTCTCCAACCCACATTCTGAATAAAGGCGCAAGCTCTGGAGAAATTTCTTGAAGAAATAGGGGAGGGAAAGCCAGATTAAAGAGGGGATTATTGGGAAAAAAAACAAAGAACCAAGCCAACGTACAAAAACAGTTTGGAAATGACCACAGCAGAAACAATAAGGTCTAACTAGCCTGTGCTAATACCTGCACGCAACAGAGTTCCTGAGTTCACATGGAGTACAGCTGAAATAGATAGAAGGACAGGCTGAACACTTGTAGAAATGAGTCCTAAGCAGGTTCTGCACTTGCCCGCTTATGTACTTTGTGTCTGTTTTGTACTTTCAAGTCTGAACTGACCAATAGGGGTTTCAAGGTGAGTTATTTAAGCAGTGTTTTAACCAATTCCACTCCCCCAGTCAGCTTCCATGGCCAAGTTGGGATCTGAACCCTTCTCCAGAGTCCCAGTCCATCACTCTATCCATTTATGTACTTATATAGTCTAATCCCTGGTAATAGTGATTGCATCTGACTGTAGAGCAGATGTTGGGAGTTTGATTCCCCACTGTGCATTCCAGAAGAGCCAGCCTGTGTGGCCTTGAGTAATGCATAGCCTCAGGGTGCCCCAGAAGAAGAGAATGGCAAATCATGTCTAAGTATTCTTCTACCTAGAAAACCCTGAGAAGGGTCACCATAAGTCTGACTGGACAGCACATGATTATTAAGAATTGCTAAATCCAGTATGGTGCAGTGGACAGTGTGTTGGACTAAGACTCAGGAGACTTGGGTTCAAATCCCCGCTAGCTAGAAAACCCAGAAAAGGGGTTACTATACAGTAAATCAGAATTGATTTGATGGCACACAATTATTATTAATAATAGAAATGGTACTCATCAACCAATCCAAACCCAGTCCAAGAGAACCTTCTGAAATGCTGGTCAAGTTGCATATCTCCTGGGGAAAAAGAAGAAGTTGGCACCAATTAGAAATTATGCTCATACGCTTAGCTAATGCAGCAAAAAATTAATGCAGGTGCTGTTTTCACAGGTATGGCATTTTACAAGTTATACAGGGTATAACAGCACCTCCACCACCATTAGGCCTCCAGCCCAAGATGGAATTGGTTAGAATTTTTAATCTCTTCACAGTGCGCATGTGTGACTGCCTGCTTCCCTTTGTGTATGAGGGTGAGAGGGAGGCAGAGGGGTGAACATTCACTTTTGCCCCTGACTTTGCCCATCATTGGTTACTATGCCAACCACAATGCCCACCACCACAATTAGGCTTTGTTTTTCCTGGGGATTTTGTCTTTTAAGGCAGAAGGAAGGCTATGGGGAATGAGACAAGGCAGGAGGGAGCCTGCAGGAGGCCCTTGAGCTATACTTCTCTGGTTTAATAACAGCCACAAGCTTGAAGATGCGACAAACCCGAAGCCTGCCTGCTCCAATCTAGGGCTCTTGGTGCCACTAAACAGAAAAGCTTACACAGCTGTTTTGCTTTTTCTTCTTTAATTGACTTTATTTTCTGGTACAAAAGAAGCAGCAACAGCAAAATACAAGAGGATTACAAACTGAGGACCTCATTGTCCGGACCTCCTGTAACATTCTGTAAAGATACCTGGGTGACTGCACAATAAAAAGCCTCACCTGGAAGCATCCCTGGAAAACAACTGACCGTGGAAATGCTTCCTGATGGTACAATAGGTCCATGACTCACACAGTTTACGCCACCTCTCACACCTGACACATAGCTGTTGATACAAAAGGAAGCAGTAACTGCCCAGTGGGCTTATCTAGCCCCAGCCAGAGCTCCACGCTTCATTTATACAAACATCTGAAGTAACAAATTGGCAGGCGGAATTCTGGTCAGAGGACTGCAAATGAGCAACAGCAGAAGTGCTGGAAAGCAAGGACACCTGCGCCCTGATCTGGATTCTCCTTCTGGCAACAGTAGGCAAAGGCAGCTTCTACAGCCTATAATTACCCATTTGCATGAAATGCTACAGCGAGGTAATGTCACTATGGGAATCACCTCCTACATGGAAGCAAATGTTTGAAAGGCTCCAATAATTACTTGCCTACAATTATATCCGCTTTGGTGAGAAAATGTACCTTGCAATCAACAACTCAACCATGGATGCTTGCGTGGCTCCACAGCAAAGATGTGAACTCTGGCCTTTTTTTGTGCGGTAAACGAGGGAGGGGGAAACCCTCTCCCCTTGCTGTGAAATGACAGCAATTTTTTTTTCTCCAGCCACTGGAAGATTTTGCACCATTTCGGAGACTGATTTCTTTCCCTATTTCTATGAAATGTACATTATCAGAAAATGTAATTAAGTGTTGCCTTCTTGCATGGATTAGCAAGAAGAGTCTTTTTAACCACTCAGCTTATTTTGTTTATGCTCACTGTGTGTGTTTCAGGAAAGGGCACTAGTTTAATATTGCAAATGTGATGGCAAATATATATATATAATCCATGCTTGTTGTCCAGAACATGTGCTAGATGTGGCAACTCTCCCCAGGGTTGGCCAATCCTCAAAGCATTGTTCCAGAACATTAAGGCATCTGTTCTCAATCACAAATGAGGCATGAGTAATATTTCTTCACATTCCCTCTCCTTTTCTGTATGCCCAACATTGTGCTAATATATTCAAGGGAGTTCTAAACAAATGCCTTCTGAGCACCTGTCCACAAATGACTCTCCTCTACCTGGAATATATTGATGGCTCCTTTACGATCTGGACTTATGACAGCAAACACTTGAGAAGTTTAATCAGGACTCAATATCACCTCACCTCACCAACAACCTGAACCTAGACCAGTCCCCACAACACACTCACTCTCTCAGTTTTATGAAGCAGCTATATCATGGAGATAAAAGGACCAGCTTATATAGGTTTATGTGCTCCCAAGCATCTACCCAGAACTCACTGCAAAAATCCATTGACTGTGACACAACTGTTTCAGTTCAATACCTATTGGACAGAGACTTACAGCATTGAGACACGTTTTCATCATACACGTTTCATACTACAATGCACTGGCAGCGGAGGGGGGGACAAATTAATAAGGTTAGATTGGAAATCATTTATGGGAGAGAACAAAAGAAAATGGCAGGACTTTTCTGGTCACCTGTAGCTCAAAGATGAAACCATACAAATGTATCTGCAAAAGAGCTACAAGCTGTCTTGGGCAATGACACTACCTTCTCAGAGGCTTTCAGTGCTAGGCCTGTCCTTGCTTATATAGAACCCCTCAAGCTAAAGAGCCTATTAGCAGCAAAAGGCTAAAACACAGGGATCAGTTACAAGCCCAGTTGCCAACAACGCCCTATACCTGGTCTGACAACACTATTATGAGAGTACTGAGACACCAGGACAAAGGTGCTTGGTGAAAATTCAAAAGTCTTCAACATGTGAAAAGTTCAGACCAATGCAAGAGCACTTCAGCCCTTCCCCAGCAATCCCCTAGAAGAAGAGGAAGAGCGAGAGAGAGAGAGAGAGAGAGAGTCAGACACCAGGACAAAGGCTCTTGGTGAAAATTCAAAAGTCTTCAACAAGTGAAAAGTTCAGACCAATGCAAGAGTACTTCAGACCTTCCTCAGCAATCTCCTAGAAGAAGAGGAAGAGAGAGAAAGAGAGAGGGAGGGAGGGAGGGAGAGAGAGAGAAAGGTTCTGCCACTTTCGACTGTGCTCCCGTCCACAGCTGACTTAACTTTCAGCCACTTACAGATTACCTCCACAATGCAGTCTTCAATAGAGATACAGTAGGTTGCTTTAGTTTTACTCTATTGGAAAGAATGAATGGATAGCAATGTGGCGTCAGAAATGGCAAGATTTTTAAAACTGGTAAGAGGAAATTTTAATCTCCTGGAATAAAAAGTTCTTCTCACACTATAGACATTAAGTGGCCTATCAAGTGCTGGAATGTTTGTGTTGCTGCCAGCTGTTAGTTTATGAATGCACAACATTAAGAATATAATTGTACAGTACTTTCTGTATTTAATTTTCTGCTGACATCAGCAGCCACGATTTTCACTGGCCAGATGACCCAACTATATTTGCTGTACACATTAGACGTGTACACTGTACTCAGAAAAATGTTCTACAAGGGTCCAACTTCAGGGTATTTGTTTGATTCTGGAGAGACAACAGGACAGAACAAGCAACTGCTGTCCACCCTCGTGGTGGAGCAGCACCAGAACTGATCCCCCACTTCCCATTTGGCATTTGAAGGGTTAAAAAGAAGACCAACAAATTGAAGTGAGGGAAGAGGAAACAGAGGCTGCAGTCACACCAACAAAATTTTTTTGAGTTAGTCCTCATACATTTTAACTATTTTTGAGGGGGGCTGTTTTCAGATGATGCATGGCCATTACTAGTTCTTTTGTTCCCTCTCCGTGCTAACTCCAATCGAATACAGCCCGCTGGGAGGCTACTATTATATTTTTTCCATATTTCATCATGCAGAACAACTGACATTCCACCAAGTGTTTACTACTAAACTGAGCAATTTCCTTTATAATTTCATCGTGCAGAACAACTGACATTCCACCAAGTGTGTACTACTAAACTGAGCAATTTCCTTTATATCTGGTATGCCATCCCACCTTTCCCACCAACTTTTGATTGACACTCTTAATTTTTAAAAAAATTAATTTTAAATGGGAATGGTGGTGCATTGGTATTCTGACAAATGAGGCTTGAAGTAGAAGAGTGAGCGGTGAGTTCTCCTCCATAGATAACGCTGTGCGGAAATAGGAAAAAATGACACAAGTAACTAACTACATGGCCAGCAAGGGCATTCTGCCGCTGTATCAATGCCCCCTCACATTTTTTTTTTAAAACGAGAGGGGCAGAGAAACGAACAAAAAGAGGAATGGAATATGTCCCACTGCAGGGATGTAGACGAACATATTACATCTAATTTACCCCCCTCCCCCAAAAGGCAGAACAAGTAAAAAAATGTATGAACCACTGTCACAAGATAGATTTCACATGATCTCAATACAGTGGGGTCTTGACTTGAGAACTTAATCCGTATTGGAAGGCGGCTCTCAAGTCAAAAAGTCTGTAAGTCAAGTCTCCATTGACCTACAGTGCATTGAAAACCAATTAATCCCGTAACAGGCCGTTTTTGTTCCATTTTGGTTTTTTTCTGGTCTGTAAGTCAATTCTCAGGCTGCAAGTCAAACCTAAATTTTGCGGCCAGAGAAGTCTGTAATTCAAAAAGTCTGTAAGTCAAGCCATCTGTAAGTCAAGGGTCCACTGTACACAACTGTACAGGAAGCAAAAGTTGTGAGAAAAGAGGGATACTTTTTACTGGCATACCCACAGCCAGAAAGTAATAGAGTAGTGTGAACTGTAGGTGCCAAAGGAGAAGGCGAGTGACCGCTGAATCCTGCAATAAAGTCAAAGATGCCCCCTTCAACTGCTGAGGCCCTGGGGAGATGACTGAGGTCATTACATGGTGTATATACACACCTTTCCAGCTACTGTGCCAGCCACTGAGTGGAGGTGGAGGTCAAACAGAAGGATATGTGTTGGTGCTTAGGAAGATTCTGGAATATTCTTTTTCTTTGGTCTCTCACTCAGTTTCATTTCTAAACTTTACCAACATTTTATCATACTATTAGGGCTGGGTGTATATGTCATTGTGGAAGGATGATAAATGCATGGGCCTTGAGGGTATTGGTCACACAATTACAACACAGCATAACCCCTTCCAAGTCATACCTACTTACATTCTCCTACTCCAATCGCATCTGAAGGACTGTTATTTTTTCCTTTTAAAAAAATTGAGATCTGAGAATGCACAGATAATGCACATTGTCTGGGAATGAAGTGAATAGGAATGTCTCCTTAAAGGGGCATCCCAGATCTGTATGCTTTTTATTCGAGTACAGAATGGAAGTTCTGCATACCACTAGCACACATATAGGCCTGAAATTTTGGGCAACAGTTCATGCCTTGGATGAATTAGTCCCAGATCCACAAAATCCTATACTATAATAAGTCTGCATGTCTTTAAATTATGGGGCTAGTGGACTTTTTTTGTTATCACAGGTTAATAAAACTATCTGCCCCCCACACACATTGGAAATTGTCTACTCCAGCAGACCTTTGGTCAAAAACGAATGTAAAAGTGAATTCCTCCATGAAGAAATATAAAGGTCACACATTCTTGCACACACAGCACTGTTCTTTCAGGATTACCTTTTAAATGTATGAAAATGTTATGCACATTCCCTGAATAAGATGCCCAAGTTGCAAGGCCAGCCACACCATTAGACCAACGCCTCACTAGGCATGAGATTTTCAGTTCTTTTTTAAAATTACAAATCCCATAATTACCCATTCTGTGAGTTCTTAAAGAACGTAAATATGGCTTGCCGGAGAAAAAGGTCTAAGCTGGAAGGCTTTGAGGCCTAGCTCAACCTAGTTCCGTCCAAACTTGTTGTTCCTGTGCAATGTTGAGAGCTTCCCTGTTGAACAGGCAGATATGTGGAACTAGGTTTAGCTAAGCTTCAAGGCTTCCGGTTTAGGCCTTTCTCCCTGGTGAGCCAAATGCAGGTGTTTGTAAGGTGTCGGTGTGTCAGTTAGGACTTCCAGAACAGAGAATGTGTAGTAAAAAACCTGAAACTCCCATCCCAGGCAGCAGATGCTGACAGATTATAGTGCCAATTCTCCCAACTATTCCACGTAAACTCTCAGGCTGTACTTCTGACTTGGAGAATACTTCTGCAGATGCTATGCAGCCTGACTTGGTGCCCCTGTCCTAGGCTGGTCTCCTCAAGTGTAGTGGAGAACACTGCCCCATTGCCAGTGTGGGACTAAGAGTCAGCAACTAATCCAGTCATGTGGAATAAGGGTGTAACAAACACTCACAGATCTCCTTGGCAAAAAAGAGAAAGAGAGAGGTGTTTTGACACACTCTGTTGAAAAGAAAAGAAAAAGTCGAACACTGCAAGATGTTTCGCTTTTGTGTAAGAGTGAAAAGGCCAACATGCTGTTTGTTGGCAGCAGGTTAACAGAACAACACAAACCTGTGGCCTTTGTGCAAAAACTTGCATTCCTTACAATTAATCTTGTATTTCATGAAACAAGAACAGCAACAAAAACCTTCTATTTTGTGCAAAAGAAGGTTTTATCCACAACAGAGGGAGAGGGAGGTGATGAGAGTTCAGAGTGTATTATCAAATAGAAGATTGTTGTTAATAATAAATTTACCTAAAGAAGATATTCATGAATCACTATCAATTTCTGTAATCAATAAACAAAAGTTCTATTTAAAAGACCTTGAAGTGTGTACCTGAATCCTCCTGAAGTAATGGTGATTTAGTGATCACCTGGTGGCAGCAGTGCAAAAAGGGGGATTGTTTGCCTTCCTGTGCTCTGAGGCTTGACGGTCAAGCAAGGGGGCACGACGGCGAACGCCACACTAGAATTACTGATTATTTTGTGTCCTCTAAGCTGCCCCTCTCTGCCAAATCGTAGGGAAAACTTTGTGCTTAACTCTTTTTTAGTCAACATGCATCTTTTTCTCTCCCCCTCCCCCTCTCTCTGTGTTTGTGTGTGTACTGCATGCATGTTTTCCTTGCAAACAAAAAAAGCAGACTTCCAATAAAGAATTCTATGAAACTCTACAAGTTCTTGTGAAGCATGCTGGTTTGTGATTTCCAGGGGTGGGTCCTCATTTATGTATTGTTTTCCCGGACATTGCCCCTTAAATACTATTTTCTTTTTCTTCTTTCTTTTTCTATGTCGGTCACCGGCAAGCAGAACAAATAAGAGGGAGGATTTCCCCATGAGGTGTCCCCTGAGCTCTCAGATTGCTCCAGTGTCTCCCCAACATGGCTGGATATGTTCACCTGGCTGCAGAATGAGGTGGCAGAGTGGATGGGCCATTTGAGGCCATAGACAGGTGGTCACAATTCTCACTTGCTTCCTCCAGCATCCTCACCTACTTGCAAACAGAAAACCAGCACAGGAGCAGCCAGGCCAAGACTAGAGACAGAACCTTTCCCTACCCCTGTTGTGGTAGATTTCTCTTTGTCTGTCTTACCTCCCATCAAGTTGCATCCAACCTACAGTGACTCTCATAGGCTTTGCAATATATGGACAATATTTAAGGAGTGGTTTTACTGTTATCCTCCTGGGGGGTGTTCCATATTGATTGATTGATTGATTGATTGATTGATTGATTGATTGATTGATTGATTGATTGATATCCAACCTATCTGGACCAACGGCCCACTCCCATGACCAAGCACTCCAAAGTCCTGTTCTTTAACACCTTTCCTGCTGAAAAGAGATGGACATCCAGGTCTCCTGGGTCCTTGCTTGCCATTCTGCCAGTTACACCACACTGGCTTCCTGCTGTGATGGACAGAAGGGAGGCGGAAAGAATGGCACCCTGTTGCTTTCAGTGGGACCTGACGGTAGGGATCAGCTTGGTTGCCCCAGTTACTCTCAAAGAACAATGGGAAATGGACTAGTGGCACTGCCAGGCTACATGTTATTGAATCCTGCTGGCTCCCGGCGTCTTTGGGCAATGGAAGCCACCCATTCTGTCCAGACAGCGACCTCAGGCTATGGAAGGCGGGCCGGTGAGGTGGGGCGGCGAAGCACCTATTCCACTGCTTGCTTCCAACCCCGCAACAACCAGTTCAACCAGTTCAATTCCTGCGTGTGTTGTGTGTGTGTATGTTTTGTTTTCAGGATCGCGCCGCTTCGCGCGTCAGTCTCTCCCGAAGCTTTGCGAGTCTTTGCGAGGTGGGGATGGGGGGAAGGAATGATGGTTGCCAAGGGAAATACAGTACGCACCACTAGCCTCACTTCCCTTCCTCGGGAAGCCGCGAAATGTTAGGACGGAAGGGGGGGGGGAGAGAAAGCGAGCGAAAGCGAGAGGGCGCTGCTTAAAAAAAAAAGCCGCACTTTCTTAGGGACTAGAAACCCCAATTTGAGAGAGTCGCCTTCACTGCTCTTCCTTGCCGCGATTACCGTAGAAGCCGATGGAGACGCGTAATTCGGAATATTAATCACGCCTCCCCGAGGAGCCGATCATTAAGCAAGCAGTGTGTGTGTGGGGGGGGGTGCGGGGGTTGGTCGGGGCGTTCGCAAGTATTTCTTTAATTGGACAGGT